ACCATTCCATAGATGACTGGTATCTTCTTCTCAAATTGTCAGAACATTGCATCCTGATTCTACTTTCAGAAACAACCAATGCAGGCTTCATTTTCAGGGTTGAGACATCTATTTTTTCTCAAATGCAATATTTCATCAGTCTCGTATTTTTATTTTTCATCTCATCTCTACTCAGGGTCAGCTTAACCATCCAGCTCAACACTATGGAATACAACGACTGTTACTCACCTCTCCTTTCACTGCACAGATGATTCTTTCTCATCTTGGAATGTGTGCATCACTCATGCCTTTTAATGGTCTTTATGTGACCAAAAGATCATAAACATCAATTCACTGGATACTCGAGTTTTCGTAGTCAAGATAATTCCTAGATCTCGAGGGGTTGTTAAGTCGGGACACTACTAAGATATGGGTTTCTCTGCTTCCACCTCTTGCAGAGTTCCATCTCTTCACAAATGCCTTGCTTCAGGGATGAGGTGCATATACCAACAATCAGGGATTCCAAGGTCTGTGCACAGATGAATAGGCTTATTAAGGATAAAATTGTCAGGCTTCACTCTGACAATTCCATGGTAATGTCTTGTGATTCTCATCATGGAGATGGTTGGTCCAGGGCTCCTTGGTTTTGAAATTTGGACATCCTGTCTTGTCACCCTACTAGCTTGCCATGTACTATAGGTGATGCCTGCGGTAGCAGGTCAGTTTGTCTCGATGCAATCAGAGTCTCTCAACAGAACAGATGCTGCATTTTAAGGTTCTGTAGGATTGGCTCTCATTTTACAACTCTGATTGGTGGGTTGGCCTTTCATTGGATCATCCAACTACTGGCAATTTGGTTTCCAGTACCTCATCTTTGGGCTTTGGCAGTGTATGCATTCCATCAGGATAGGATGGTATTACAACTCTAGTCATTCCCTCCACCTCATATGTTACCCAGGGTACTAAATATGATTTGTTCCAACCCATTGTCGGATCCTGTTGATAGCACCAGATTGGCTACTACACCCTGGTTTCTGCTTCTGCGGTACCTTCTGGAGTGTCCACCTCTTCCACTTCTTAGGCTATATCTGTGGAGGCAACCATGATCCGACATGGTACACTTGGCTATCCAGAAGCTCAAGCTTCCGGCATAGAGGTGATGCAGTCTTTCGCATGGCATAAGGGTTTAATTTATAAGGTTGCCATGTATATGTCTCAGTTTTTGCTTAGTCCCGAGATGGACATTTGTCAATGGAAGTGATACATATTGGCAATGAGATGAGGTTGAACCCACTTCGATCAGAAGTGCCAACCATTGCTAATTTTTTTACCTGGTTCTTTGGCAGGGGTTTTTGCATCTTCCACAGTTACCCTGTTTAAGGCAGCCTTATCAACTACATATTCTCCAGTATTCTCCGGATTCCTCAAGTTGCTTTGGATCCTTGGTCCCAAATGACCATTTCAGTTACCTAACAGGTATATTAAGGTTACATTACATTCTCTTTTCAACACCTGTTTGTGTCCTGATTCTTATATGCCATGTATCCCTTTTACCTGAAGGTTTGTTTTTCATAGCTGCTGACATTGCTGGTTGGAGTGATTTTTGCTGTTTGTTCACAGACTGGTTCTTATTACCCAAGACACTGTCAGACAGGGAAGGGAATAAATCCTTTTCACTGATTCATCTGATCACTATTTCTCACTTCTGTGTCCAATCAGATTTCGATTGTGGTCATGTTCAGTGAGGGTTTGAAGATTTTGTTGCCTGCATCAATGCTTTTAGAGATGCTAGGCAATGACTTTTTATTCTGGACTCTCTTTGAAGGTGAGGAATCTTCTGTGAGTCATGTCTAATCAGATTTGTCACATTTCTATGTCCTTAGCAGCCTGGTTGAATTGCCCGCTTGAGGACATTGTGTGGACTGATATGTGGACCTCCCTCAATACTTTTATCTACGTTAGTTGCATGATCTGGCAGTATCTTCCTCTGAGGGTTTTTGCCTACCCCCTGAAGCTATCTTAACCATTTCTGCTAGAGGGGGTGAGTATTTTCATTGCTACCTTTCAGGGTTCCTTACCTCATTTTCACAGGATCCCACTCTGTGGCAAGTGTTGCCCAGGCAGGTGTGCTTTAATCAAACCAATTGCACATGCAACCACTAATGCAATATACTTTATACAGGTTGCAACAGGCTCTGTAGAAATGAGGTGTTCTATAAGACCACCTAGAGGCTGACTGGGTGGTATTACTATACTATGCTGGATCACCACTCATGGGCTGTCATGAGTAAAGCATAAGGGGATTCTGCCTGTCCCTGCTGATCATTGAATTTAATAAACCAGAGTCAGTTTGCTTTTAAAAATTTAGGGAACTTGATTCACCTATTTCACTGTTTCCAGATCACTGTTCCTCAGGACTCCCTAATGCGCATTACCCCTAGATTCTACTAGTGGAGCTAGGGAGTCCTTACCACACCC